AATAAAAATAAATTTAATCTGTTCGGTTAACGAATCTCCATAAAATGACGTGTAAAATTACAATTTTTTAAAATTTCAATAACTTTTTAACGGTTTAGTGAATCGATTTGTAATTTTTACAGGAGTTTTAGAATTGAATGAGGAACGTTCTTCCAAATTTTTATTTGTCTCGTAGCATTTTGACATACCGCCCAAACATCCTTAAGGAGAAGTTGAAAGATTCGGAAAAGTAATTAATGAAATATAAAACTAGTGAAGATTTTTTTTTCACTAGTATATACCTAGAACTTGACAATTACTGATTCTTCAAAGTTAATTATTAATGTACAGAAGTTTTATCTACTAAACTTATACCGATTGGTTTTATTCTTTAATTCAATTCTTACTTCTAATTAGTTATCTTTTGTTGAAACATGTAATAAAACTTGAAATAGCTTGGAATTGCTTTTCCTAAAATTTCCGATTTCTATAGACGAAATGTGGGGTAGGTACCATCACAAGGTCATCAGTCTGAAGAATGGTTTAGGAAAAAGTTCTTTTGAAAACAAATCACGGAAAAATCCTCCTCAGAGAAAAGCCTCAATCAGTGTTTGCGTTTCCAATAGATTTTACAATATCTCGCTTCCATATTTGCGGTAAGACCAGTAATTTAGTCACAATCTTCTATCGCCCCTTTATACTCCTGTTTCTTCTTCTGATACGCCTCTAACCACTTCTTCATGTCTGACACCCTACATATCGAAAACCGATGTATTCAATATTCATATTAGCGCAACTTTATAAATTTTAACTTCTATTCAATTAAGATATTAAAAAAGTATATCAGTTTGTTCGTATATCAAACCATTCATTGTGGAATAATTAAAGCATCTATGTTATTATTAAGTTCTTTGAAAAATCATCCCATTTGAGCCAAAACCTTTTACAAATCCATATACAATGCTCCTGTTTGTTTTGTTTGTGACAGATCTAGATCAAAGCTTCGCTATTCTATCGCTTTTATCGATAAGCCCCAATTTTGTTTTCATCAAGGTATACGTTTAGAAATTTAAAGGTCTAAAGGATTAATTTATAAAAAGAATTCAATCTTTGGCACGCATGTAGAAAATCAAAGCGAGCGAAGCTGCTGGTAAAACCTATCATGACATTTTGTACACACATTAACAATGGTACCGAAAGGGACAAAGGGTACCTTTTATTCAGAAAAAAATTCTGCACCCGAGGGATAAAAAAATTAGTTTTATGTGGTCGTCGATGAGCTGTGACATGTATTTAGATTCTAATGGTTTATAATTTTAAATCAACGAGCACTTTTACAAAACAATTAAAAGACTATTATTGGAAATAGAATAAACATTGAATACGAAAGGGCTGTTTAAGTCTTTGACTAAATTTTAGGTATATGTAAGCTTACATATGACATCACAGGTTTTTAAACATTTTGTCTCGAATTTGTCTAGAGCTTTTTGTTTAAAAGTTTNCTTTAGAAACGAATGTACTTTACAATAACTGTATTATCTAATGGGAAGTTAGTCGTATTAGCACCGATCAAAGTGTGCTCAGACCAATTTTTTCTGTTTTAAAATTCAACCCCTAATGTTTTTTTAACTTAATGAAAAATCTACTGAAGCAAAAGTATGTAAATTAATACCAACTTTTTTTGAATATATGATTAGAACCAATTTAAATAGAAAACCCTCGCAAAATCGAAGTTCTTTCAGCGAAAAAATTGAAAAATTATATTTTAAGTCTCCTATAACATCAGCAATACGAGGGTAAGGAAATGACAATTTTAAAGTGCCTTAATTAATTTTAGCTAGATCTTTTATTTATTTAGGCATCTCAACAACTTTCTGTGTACATTGGGTTGTCTATCCTGCTACAACAAAAATCGAATTAATTATTATGTTTAATCGGGTTATAAGAAAACTGAGCCACGGTATTGAATAGCAAATTTGATCGAAAAACATTAACAACAATACAAATGTCTGTATTTAACTAACTGATGTTGTTTACATGACGGTATTTATTAGTTTACTTCTATTTGCAAGATCATTTTGAGTATTTAAAATTATTTTTGAAAGCGTTGGACGAATTATATCGTACCTACTGAAGTTCGTTATCATGAGATTCCAATGTTGGCAGGGACGTTCAAATAAGATTTTTAGGTCAAACAAGAGATAAACATATCGTTGTAATACTACTCTTTCGGAGAATTTAAATTGCTATAATGAATATGTATTCCATTCATTGCTAAATGTTGTAACTTTATCTTTTTTGAAACAGTTTCTAACATATTGAAATAACAGTCTACAACTATTTTCATTGACAAGGACTTTAATAAATAATCTAAAGGATTAATTTATAAAAAGAATTCAATCTTTGGCACGCATGTAGAAAATCAAAGCGAGCGAAGCTGCTGGTAAAACCTATCATGACATTTTGTACACACATTAACAATGGTACCGAAAGGGACAAAGGGTACCTTTTATTCAGAAAAAAATTCTGCACCCGAGGGATAAAAAAATTAGTTTTATGTGGTCGTCGATGAGCTGTGACATGTATTTAGATTCTAATGGTTTATAATTTTAAATCAACGAGCACTTTTACAAAACAATTAAAAGACTATTATTGGAAATAGAATAAACATTGAATACGAAAGGGCTGTTTAAGTCTTTGACTAAATTTTAGGTATATGTAAGCTTACATATGACATCACAGGTTTTTAAACATTTTGTCTCGAATTTGTCTAGAGCTTTTTGTTTAAAAGTTTCGATGATATTTACCATAGATAGTTAGCAGTCCAGATAGTTTAAATTTCAATTAAAGTTTTACTCTATTTCTCTTACAGAATGAATGCAAATTTTCGTGTTCCTCTTCGTGTAATGGAACCTCCTGTAATAACTTCTGCAAGGACTGTTTGAGGCAACTGGGAGAACCGTGCAGCGATGATATAAAATGCGATGATACCAAACACCTCATATGCAAATTTTCACACGGAGATACGGAAGNGGACATGGCCGCGGTTAAAAATTCATAGCTCCGCTATTCGACATCCGATATGTACGAAACATGGCTCGTTCGAAGCCCAATAAGTTGGGCAAATTTTTGACGAAAACAGTTTTGACCTATGACATTCCTGGTCTGCGCTAGAGCCGACCAAATTCGCGCAATTTACCAAGTCCACAAAATGGCCCATATTTTCCGTTTGAATAGTCCTATTTCCACGGAAGTGTTATCAAAATTTTCTAGAGATAAAATAGAAGCGCCCCCCTACATGACGTTCGAACTGCGACGGGGCATCCGTCTGTGAAAGAATTTTTCCGATAATTCCTATCGTTTTCCAGCTACAGGTTACGAAAGTCAAATTTGGGCTCAGGAACATGGCCGCGGTTGAAAATTCATAGCTCCGCTATTCGACATCCGATATGTACGAAACATGGCTCGTTCGAAGCCCAATAAGTTGGGCAAACTTTTGACGGAAACAGTTTTGAACTGTGACTTTCCTGGTCTGCGTTAGAGCCGACTCAATTCGCGCAATTTACCGAGTCCAGAAATAGNGACACGACCCTGCGCTATCCTCTGCTTTATAACCCTACTATCTGACTTCCTAGGTATCTAAAATCAGCCACTTATATTCTAATTTTTCGTCTCCTATCTTTATATTCGCTCTTTCCCTACTTTCTCTTCCCTTGCATACCAGTATTTTAGTTTTACTTTTATTTATTTTCATACAGTACAATATTTATTATCTTCTATACATCTCGGTCAAATTAATCGTAGAAAACAATGGTCTTTGATTGAAATTTACGTTAGACGAAATTCACAATCCCTTTGTAAAGTAAATACACCATATAGATTTAAATATTTTTTATACCAACATAGACCTTTAGGTATTACTTCTATTTATACTATATACTGCTTCTTGGTCACATAAATATTTGCTGGGGTTGTAGGGGTGAAACTTTATACAACTACATTGTACAATGTATAATGTACGTACCTATACATATATATTTTACTGAAAATTATGCAAAGTTGTTCGCTATTTTATCTTTGGGGAATTCAGTTCGGAATGCTATAAAAATAAAGGAAAATTTGTTTCCTTTCGCGCTTTAGAAATCCCGAACCGATTCAGGCTTATCCATTCACAAAGCGACTAAAGGTATACGCGTATGTATATGGGACAGTAAAAAGGTTTTATAAAATTTAGATTCCAAGAACATTGAATTCGGAAGTGTAGTGCTTTTGTAAAGGGGTAGGCACAGTTACCTTATATAAAATTAAAGCCCTGGAAAGTCTAAGTTTGTTGAAAAAAGCGTGCAGGACGACCGGTTGCACGGTTCATACATGCTAGAACAGGGGTCGACAACCTTTTGAGTCGGAAGAGTCGAAAATTACAATTTAATAGTCACTTCTATGCTCGCGAACGGTTAATTTAGAAATTCGAAAAAGGTTGTTAAAGGTGTATGTTTGGAGCGCGGCGTTGTACGGGTGCGAAGCATGGACAGTGGGTGCGGCGGAAAAGAAAAGGTTGGAAGCGTTCGAAATGTGATGTTATAGGCGGATGATGAGGATAACATGGGTGGAGAAGGTTGGAAATGAAGAGGTATTGGAAAGAATAGGATAACAGAGGACTCAAGTCAATAAAAAATAGGTGACATAGGTTGGTAGGACACCTTCTCAGGCATGAAGGTCTAGTCAGAGACATTTTAGAGGCAGAAACAGGAGTTAGGAGGGGTAGAGGTAGACCTAGATTAGATTACTGTTCGCAAATAGTTAAGGATGTGGGCTGTTCTAGTTTTAGGGAAATGCGAAGTTTA